TGTATCAACCACCCAGGAATAACTCGGTTGCACCCGAAGCGCCTCTATATACGCATAGTTTGTGAAGAAATTGCTGTTCCCTGTAGAGTTGCCCCGATTTGAGGATAGGTCTGAATCTAGACCATGTAGATTATTTTTGTTCCAACTTGAACTTCGTGGGCCGAAGGAGACGCGCAGCTTGCGCGCAGCACATTGTTTGAGTTGCAGACGAGGCAAGCTATTCAGGAGACTTCGAGTGACGGGACCACAAACTGTCCAGTGCATATCGGTACGCCAAAAGAATGCCGCCAGAATACAGCTTGCGCAGGGCAGCTGCTTCAAAGCGAATGAGCTTCTGAGCGTTGGTATGTTCCAGTTGGTGTTAAGACAGGATATACGTTGCGTACGAGGTCATCGGCAATGGCGCGGTAGCGCTCGGAGCGCCCCACCCACATCTTGGCGCAAGAGCTTCTGTTCAGTGTGCGGTTGCCCGTTCGATTCGAGGTGAGCCATAGACAGGGTACAACCGGTTTTTTTCCCCTGTTCCTGGGCGTGCTTTGCCGTGACTGAAAGAGATCGGTACAACCCTATTGATATTTCAGCAGTGGTACAGCAGTGCCGCACGATTTCTGTGTGTTGCGTGAGGTACTGCACTTTGAGCTTCGCTGTTTGAAGAACACGGAAGATAAGATGACGATGAGTTCAGTGTTCACTGGGAATGGCTCGGTAGCGCGTGGAGCGCGTCTGCACGAAATGAGTTGCTGCCATGGCGAAAATCATTTCCTCATGTCGACCCGTTCGACTCGGGGCTGAGCCTTAGCACTGCGGGCGCGATGATTTTGTTTTTCTGCTACCTGTGCGCGCTTTGCCGTCACGGAAGAGCCCGCGTGCGGGAGAGCTTGGAGCTATCCGGTTTAGCATGGGGAGCAGTGGTAAGCAGCGTCAGAGCGAAAGGATGCGTTGAGTTGTTGCATTTGCGACGGTTGCTGTTCCGAGAGCATGGGAGATGACCTGCGTACAAAGTCGTTGGAAATGGCTCAGCACCGCCTGGCGCGTGTCTGTGCACGGTTCATCGATACTCGCCCGATGTGTTGAACAGACACAGTCCCGTTCGACTCGGGCCGAGCCATGCGTGGTTGACTGGAATTTTCTTCGTTTCCTTTGTTTTTTGAGGGTCGCATTGGTTCTTCCGAAGGTCAGATCGTGTATGTGCTCGGGGGTTGGGTTGACTCAGACTTGATTTTCATTGCGGCCGAGTTACGACCAAAGTAGCACGAAGATATGACGTGTATCAGCTACTCAGGAGAGGCTCGGTCGCGCTCGGAGCGCGTCCTCATTTGATCGTTGTCTGTTGAGCCCGTTGGACTCGGGGCTGGGTCGTGTCGCGTTCCGAATTGAATTTTCTTTTTTCATGTAGCGGACGGTCGGACATCCTGCGCGGGGGAGCACACTTCTGCATGGACGGGGGGGCAGCCCAGAACAAAGGGGTTTGACATTTGCTTTTGAAGAATTTGTAGACAGAAGCCGGATACTGGTACCTTGAACGTAGCATACAAGGTCAGTGTTTAATGGCTCGGAAGTGCGTGGCGTCTGTGCGCATTATGCAACAGTGTCCTGCTAATATGTGGAGCAGTGTCCTCGTTGGACTCGCGGTCGAGCTGTGAAGCTTTTGCAGATCAATTTTTTCTTTGATGCTTGACACTTCTTTCGATCCCTCGAGAGATAGACTCGAGTCCCAGTCATGCTTGAAGCTTCACCTCTTCGTACGCGAGACGCCTGGCCCGTGGCGCTCAATCTAAATCAGGTCGTGCGCAAAGGATGGATCGATCAGGTACACGTGCTCACAGTCACGAGCGAGGCAAGAAGGGAGGGAATAGTACGTATGAGTTAACGTGCCTCCTGGTCTGCCTCGAGGTCCACGCCCTCATTGTCCTGGGGGTTAAAGCTTGATATCGTGCAAGGCAACACTAACCTCCTTTGGCCCGGGTGATTGACACAATTCTCGGGAGGCGTAAGAGCGAAACGTTTCTCGCAGGCCGGCCCATGCTGGCCAAATAGCAATCGAGGAAGGGGGAAAAAGCAGATGAGGCACGTCGTGACCGAACCGGACCGAAATCGAACCGTGGGAACAAGAGCGACCGAGGCTAGGTCCGCATGGTAGGTTTCCATGTAAGACTTGATTGCGCCGTGGTGATTTTCCGGTACTAGTTCAAACTATTGTTCAGTTGAGGGATAATTCTATCTAACAACCCCCCTTGTTAAGAACAACCGGGTTGTTAAAACCGATTTTATTTCTAACAACCCCCCAAAAAGTTTCCAAAAATAAATGTTCTATCCAAGTTCTATCTAACAACCCTCAAAACGGGTCGAACCACGAACCAACTGAACGTCCGGCAGCCCAATTCGGGCAGCCGTTTTGCCTTCATCTCTCCATGGACCCGTCATCAAATCGGCAAGTGATCGGCTTCGCACTTCCAGCAGTGTTCAAAGGCAGTCGTTTTGATTCCTTGCTGGGCCGTGCGTGCTCAGTTTCTTGTCTCACTGGTATCCCACCTGGAATGAAAAAAAAACACGACACCGAGTACAGCCGTGAATGCCTTGCTTCGCATCCACCTTTGCCTTGGATTCGGCATCCCGGCTGCGCGACGCAAGCCGAGCGGGAATAAAACTATGTAAAGTGGTGGACGCTTGCTTGCTTTGGACTGTCCGATTTTATGCACCCGCCAAATGCACATTTTCAAGATCAGCGGCAATGGTCCAATAAATGTCGCGCCGACTTGCCTTACGGGGCCGACATCAGTGCCAGCGGTTTAAAATAGAGATCTGCGAACATTTGAACCGGTTCAAATCACCGCAACCGGGGTTGTTAGATAGAAAGGGTTGCTAGATAGAAACATTATTTTCTACAACCCGGTTGTTCTTAACAAGGGGGGTTGTTAGATAGAATTATCCTCAGTTGAGTTACCGATTCGACTCTGGGCCGAGATGTGTGTGCAACTTTTTTCTTCTTTTCTCTCACCCTTCTTTGCAGTTGTGGAATAGCTGCATCCTGATCGTCCTCGCAGAAGATGTACATAGATGACAGCGGGAGTAAGAAGGGGGGTGATGCTCTCCTACCGCCGAGTGCTCTTGTGAAGCAAACATCCAAAACGCAAGAAGGACCTCGGCGCCAGGAGGAAGAAAAAAGGCTCACGGGTATAGTCACATCATTCGGGCGCCGGGAGTCGAACGATGCCTGATTTGAGCTTTCAGTTGGAGAGTTGTGGAGCCGAAGAATTCTTACAACCCAGCGCGCCAAAAACTCGAGGATGAAGTTGGAAAACTCGGAGAATAAGTTGGGAAGTAGGAAAAAATCGTCAACCTAGACTCCTAGACAGCGCGCATTCGGGCGCCGGGAGTCGAACCCGGGTCTCCCACCCACTCTATCCCCCTCTATTCTGGTTCAAGTGAAGTGGTTGTGCGCCGCGCACCACACCCGAATTCCTGGGCTACTTTTGAACCTGAATACGTAGCGGGATTAATATCTTCACCTACTCTATCATCAGCGTTCCGCGTTCGAAGTGGAGTCTGCCACAGCTTGCGGGGGGAAAACCGAAGCTTGAAAAATTGAAGCGCACATCCCACTGGCAGCTAAAAACAAGGAAACGCAAAAGGAAGAAGGTGGGAGGAAGAAGAGAAAAAAATGGTCCAAGCAAACTTTGATTCGGGCGCCAGGAGTCGAACCCAGTTCTCCCACCTACTCCTTGTCCTCCTGGCTGAGGATAAGACTTGAGGGTCAAGTGGGTGTGCGCCGCGCGCGGCGCACCACGCCCGAATTCTTGGTATCCCTTATTCCCTGAATACGTAGCGGGATTAACATTTTCACCTACTCTACTTACCATCCGCGTCTGCTACAGCTTGCCACGGGGAGGGAGAACCAAACCTTAGAAACAATCCTCCACATCCCGGCGCGCCAGAAATGATGCGTCAAAGCCAAGCAAACGTCAGAAGGACGGACGAGCTGAAGAAGAAAAACTCTTCGGATTAGACAACTTTGATTCGGGCGCCGGGAATCGAACCCAGTTCTCCCACCTATTCTGCAGCGGATGTCCTAGACCAGACCAAGTGAAGTGGATGTACGCCGCGCACCACGTCCGATCCTTTACTTCCTTGCTACCCTGAACAGACGGTTGCTTCTTCGAACGCTCACGCGGGCGGTGGCGGGGAAGAGATCCTGACTCCTGAGGGTACACCCGAACAAGAAGGACGCAATTTCACTCGTATTCCACGATCCAGACAGTCCACTCGGAGCCTTGAATCGCTGGCCGAAGATTTTTGGCGCGGCAAAAACGTGAGCGAAAAGGAAGAAAAGGACTTAGGATCGCACACGACAGAGATTTATCCGGGCGCCGGGAATCGAACCCATAATCTTGCTGGGACTGCACATATGTATGTATGTACATACACAAGGGAAGTGGGTGTGCGCCACGCACCACGCCCGACGCATCATGCTACTTCTTAGCTGAGATACGTACTATAGGGCAATTTTATCCGTATTCCGCAGTCCAAGCAGTCCACACGCAGCTTTGAAATTTGAGCTTTCAGTTGAAGATAGAAGAATTCTTACAACCCAGCGCGCCAAAAACTCGACGATGAACTTGGAAAGAAGAAGAAGGAAGAAGGAAAAAATCGTCAATCTAGACAGCGCGCATTCGGGCGCCGGGAGTCGAACCCGGTCTTCCTACCTACTCTAGATCTCCTCCTTCAGTACAAGACATGTCATGTGGATGTGCGCCGCGCACCACGCCCGACGCATCATGCTACTTCTTAGCTGGGATACGTACTATAGGGCAATATTATCCGTATTCCGTATTCCGCATCCACTCGCAGCTTTGAAATTTGAGCTTTCAGTTGGAGAGTTGTGGAGCCGAAGAATTCTTACAACCCAGCGCGCCAAAAACTCGAGGATGAAGTTGGAAAACTCGGAGAATAAGTTGGGAAGTAGGAAAAAATCGTCAACCTAGACTCCTAGACAGCGCGCATTCGGGCGCCGGGAGTCGAACCCGGGTCTCCTACCCACTCTATCCCCCTCTATTCTGGTTCAAGTGAAGTGGGTGTGCACCGTGCACCACGCCCGAATTCCTGGGCTACCTTATAACCCGAATACGTAGCCGGATTTTCACCTACTCTATCATCAGCGTTCCGCGTTCGAAGTGGAGTCTGCCACAGCTTGCGGAGGGAAAACCGAAGCTTGAAAAATTGAAGCGCACATCCCACTGGCAGCTAAAAACAAGGAAACGCAAAAGGAAGAAGGTGGGAGGAAGAAGAGAAAAAAATGGTCCAAGACAACTTTGATTCGGGCGCCGGGAATCAAACCCGGTTCTAACTTCTCCCACCTACTCTGCAGCGGATGTCGTAGACCAGACCAAGTGAGGTGGGTGTACGCCGCGCCCCACGTCCGATTCCTTACTCTCTTGCTACCCTGAACAGATGGTTGCTTTTTCGAACGACCACGCGGGCGGTGCCGGGGAAGAGATCCTGAGGGTACACCCGAACAAGAAGGACGCAATTTCACTCGTATTCCGCAGTCCAGGCAGTCCAATCGGAGTTGGCCGACGCCAAAAACGTGAGCGAAAAGGAAGAAAAGGAAGAAAAGGATCGCACACGACAGAGATTTATCCGGGCGCCGGGAATCGAACCCAGTTCTCCCACCTACTCTGCAGCGGATGTCCTAGACCAGACCAAGTGAGGTGGGTGTGCGCCGCGCACCACGTCCGATCCTTTACTCCCTTTCCAACCTGAACGGATGGTTGCTTTTTCGAACGCTTACGCGGGCGGTGGCGGGAAAGAGAACCGGACAGCAAACAAGAAGGCCAAAGGTGTATTCGGCGTTCGCATTCCGCAGTCCAGGCATTCCACTCGCAGCTTTGAGCTTTCAGTTAGAGAGCCGAAGAGTCGAGGATTTCTTACCCCCCAGCGCGCCAAAAACTCGAGGAGTAAGTTGGGAAGAAGAAGAAGAAAAAATCCTCAAATTAACGACGCTATTCGGGCGCCGGGAGTCGAACCCGGGTCTCCTACCCACTCTATCCCCCTCTATTCTGGTTCAAGTGAAGTGGTTGCGCGCCGCGCACTACGCCCGAATTCTTGGTATACCTTATAACCTGAATACGTAGCGGGATTAACATTTTCACCTACTCTACTTATCATCCGCGTCTGCTACAGCTTGCCACGGAGGGAGACATCAGGAAAAATCTGGGTAAGTATGGAGCACTACGTAGCCAACGTAGCGGTCGTAGCGCCGTTGCAACCCCCCTAAAATATAGCGCGATGTAGCTGCCCATCAAAACTATGGATTACTATATCGGGCGCGTAGCCGCGTGCCTTGGCTACATAGTGCCGTAGCTCTGTAGCAGCGTTGTCTACATAGGTCCAGGTAGCACACCATAGCTGTGTTGTTGTTTCAGGCTACTAGTAGCAGGGACAAATGGCGTTGGACGAATCACATTGTATTCAATGGGTATATAAAAACAAGAGGCTACGGCACGACACCGCATATTCAGCTCTACAGTTTCAGGAGAGGGATTCACACCGCTGCAGCTGAAAAAAAAAACCCTGCACGGATGAAGTAAGTAACAACGACCGAACAGGAGATAGGGACATACCACAGGGCACGATGGAATGAAATGAGAGCTCAAGCGGAACCATCCAGTAGCAGTGAACCGTCGAATACGAATGCATCCTATGTCTTGGTTGGGCGAGAAGACGACGGTCCTGAGTAGCGCTTGAGCAGCTTGACCGGCCGCCTCGGAGTTCTGGCAAACGTTGCTTGAGGACGGGTGAGAATCTTGTGAATGGCAGCTTGGCGTTGCTGTTCGAGGATTGCATCAGCAGCTTGAGTGCTCGAGCTTGCGAGCCAGAGTGATTGAAGCTTGAAGCTCAACGGACGAGACACTTGCAAGGCTGCCAGGTCGGGTGAATGGAGAGTGGATAAGTCTTGGAGAAGAGCGAGCACGAAAGGGCAGAGACTCTGAAGGGGTGAAATGGACAGTGGTAGCTTGAGGGAAGGCGCATGGCGTCACCAGGCAAGTACGCCGTTGCCTGAGGACACCACGACGTGGAAGGACGCTTTGCCGGTACCAAGTCCTGACACTGGGCCGATGAGGAACATAAATACGAGCATGGGAACGCGGGTGACGAGGAGAAGAAGGGGAGGAAGAGCCAAAGGCGGCGAACGCGGTGGAGATAGAGGAGAGAGAGAGGCGACGTGGCCATCAAGGGCCATCACCAACCATCTGTCAACTACACGTGATGTGTGCACGGACCTCCATCACGTCTGATCGACAAGCTTTAGGACCCCTGCCTTCGGCACGGAGGCTCGCTGCGCTCGCTCCGTCCCTACGGCGGGTCCACAGCTTGTTGGGGCTGCGCCCCAAACCCCAGTGGATTCCGAATTTCTTGCACTTTTGCGCGCTCGCTGCGCTCGCGCGACCTCTCGTGGGAACCGGGGCAACATCTTGACATCCGGCAGCGACATCTGCGCAACAGCCCGTGACTTAGTCAGGTGATTTATCAATAAAGCTGTGCTTCCCTCTTTTTAAGTATAGGACCTTCTCTGTGTGATCGATTGGCTAACAAGACCAAGTTGCAACTTCCAGGTTGGCTCATGCACGCATCGTTCAGACGGCGCCCAGTGCTTTCCATCCACCACATTGTTTGAGGCACGGCTCGATTTTGGCCGGCAAGATTTCGGTAAGGTGCCACGACCAGTGGTCGACATCTCTCTGGACATTCCTCTCCACTTGACTTCAAGTTATCCCATACACGCATACTACCCCGGACTTGCCCCGGACTGGAAGGAAGCAGTTTGCCTCAAAATTTGCTTGAAACGGTCAATATACTTACTCGCAGCATTCGACAACGATATCCAACATCGCCGCACGGCACATCTACATCCGACAACATTTTGACAGTGCGGATCAATGATGTACTACGGAGCCTGTGGGTAGTGCTACAGAGACTACGGAGACTATATACACTGGCTTTTGTCTACCATGCACGATATGGGCCAACATAATTAACTGGGCTACAACTTTCCACAGGGTTTTTCCTGATGGAGCCAAACCTTCGAAACAATCCTCCACCAAAACCGAGTACATACAAAACACGGACATTACTTACATTTTCAAACCCGGTACATATCAACCAGACACGGTACATTCTGCATAATGTGCCGGGTTTGGGATCAAACCCAAATCAAACCCGGTACTTTCCTTATTGGAATGTACCGTGTATCGGCAGATTCGGCACAGCGGCTGAAGCCCATTGCAGCACGTGCACGATCTCCTGCTTACCTCCCACCACCATCACCACCGCAAATACGCAGGTGCGCCTCAGGTGTGCCCTCCCGCCCATGTCCTCCCCGCCGCATCGTGCACGAGGTCCTACGAGGCTCTCCTTTGTCTCGCTCACATATTCTCACGTGGCTGCGATCACCATGCACAGACTCGCGCGAGGATGCGTGGCACCGTTCGCCCTGCGCTATCCGCCTCGTGCACCCCAGCAGCGCGCTCCTCTTTTGTCCCCGTGTGAATCGCGCGCGCAGCCCAATCCACGGCCTGACTTTTTCGCATGCAGGTGCTCTTGAGGGCCGGGAGTTACGTGCGACACCGTCCCGCGCCGTATCCGGTGCGCTCTAGATCTCATTATCCATACTACTATTGTGACTAACTCACGGATTGTAAGATTAACCTAACTGCAACACCTGTCAGTGCGCAAGAGTGGGGCCAGGTGCGTACTCTCACTCTCACCTCCCTCCGCCGTGGCGCAGTCTACAGGGAGTCGAGGTGCTCCATGTCGCGCGCCGCAGTAGATAGGGACACCCCCCTCCCTGTCGTCCGCATGCGGATTCGCGCGTTTCGCGGTGAGCGCACCTGCGCATCCGCAACGCCAGAGAGGGAGCCTGCACGCGCGGTCACCGACACATCTGTAGCCAGGACATTGTGCGCTCAAGCTGCATCGGCATGGGTGGATACAGCGCGCTTGCAGCGGAGACGGAGTCCGAGCGCGCGTATAAAAGCTTTTTTCGTCAAAAATTATCTGCATTTGGTGGGTCCGCACACAACACACCACTGTGCACCTTCGCCCAGCAACACACTACTTTTTCGCAGTGTATGATGGCAATCCCGCGCGTAAATGGCGGAGAGATCAGCCGGAGGTTGTCTAAGGATCAAATGATTTGGATTCGGCAACTCCATTGCTGAGAGTCCTTGTTGCAAAGACGGTAGGTAGGGTTGATGATAATTAGGCGGTAGAAATTATGCTCCAGAAGAAGGACATCAATTCAAGAATGCCCAGAGCATATACTGATATCTTGAGACCTTCCATGTGTCTCTGTGTACCTGAATTCGAACACCAATGTATCTATGTTCGCCGGTTCCCAACAACCAGCGGCAAAACCAACTTTGATGGCATCAATCCAACCTATTCACTTGAGGTCGGATCCATGGATATACAGCGTCGGTGTGTACATTTCAAGCGTGGGGGACCACCAGAGAAAGCTCAGGTCGACTCATGAGTGCTCCGTGGAGTCAATGAAATGTGCATTGTGGCAAGTAGAATGTTGAATTGTGCAGCACAATGTGCACACTGTAATGTACATTTCCGCCCTAAATGTGCACCAAAATGAGCACTTACTCACATTTCAGTGCTCCCGTGGCGTCTGCGCTGTACACAGAGATGCGTACATAATTTTTGACGATAAATACCGTCATACGCGCGCAATGAGCTGCGTAGTGTGCTACATTCATGTAGGATAGGACTTGACGATGGTCATTAGGAACCCTAGCCGACTTGGCTAGTCAAATGTGAACGGTGATTCGGGTGAGAAAGTGTGGACGACGCACCTCAGAGTCCCAACTAGTCTGCAATTCCAACGAACTACATACCTTTAAAGGCCTTGAAAAAACCAACCTTGCTCACATGTATCGTAAGAATGTTTAGAAACCAACAAGAAGTGTTCAAGTGTCTCTGCGTATTGGCAGGAACAGCAAAGATTTTGGCAAATAGCTCGCGTCCAATTTATCGAGGTGCCAACAGAACATGGGGGGTCCCATGGAAAAAATTCCAAACCCAAGCATTG